AAATACTCGCGATTTGGATCCGACAAAATAGTTTTATTTCCACTATTAATTACTTCAAGTAACTCATAGAAAAAATTACGTCAATCTAAAATACGAAATAAAATGCAGCAACAGATTAAATCGGAAACATTGTGGCGGAACGAAACAACAATATTGTAAACGATAACAATCTCTACATTAGCTGTGTCACTGAAAACATGGACTTGGACATAAAATATATTTTGTAAAATAATACTAACTAGGAAAATAAAAATTTTAGACAAAATCGCATTTTTTTGTAGTGTAAAAAGAATTGCCTATCATGATGGTGCTGCAGGTGACACTTAATATCTTTACAGTGAAAACAGAACACTAACTGTTCGTACGTTAGATTAAAACTACGGAAACTTCAAAATTATACATGGGTACGTGAATTTCGACTTATAAATATGCTATTTCGACTCATCCGTAGAATAAAGATCTATGTGCAAAAGTACTTGTTCTCAGGACATAGAACATTTCGTTCGTTGTTCTTCGCTGTGGATGTTAGATCGACTGTTGTTCGATTTTATGTTTCCGAAACGAACTAAGATATATAAATTCTCAAAACTCATTTACATAGGCTTTAGTTTGAATAACGAAATTAATATTGTAACGTACTTATTCTCTTTTCGCTATATAATCACATTGGACTTTGTTCTTCGGATGAGTCGATTTTATCCCAATTAGTATACTTTTATGTTTATATCGCATTCTTGGTCCATCGTGTCTAATCGTAACATTGCAAGTCCCAGTATTCAAAAGGCAAACCTTGGAGGTATGCATTGTAGTACAGTTGTATACAGATAGAACTCTGCGTGAAATACTAATATCTTTATGATGATACATGATTTTGTGCTAAATATTTTATCATCTGTCAGAAATTTTAAAAACTGGAATGATATAATGCGTTAGAGCCAGTTCCCACTTGTACGGTTTATTCGTGTCAGTTTTCCGATACGGGAGAACTGTTTCGGGTGTCTAAAGTGTCACTCGGTTTGCTATTTCGTAACATGAAGGGAGTGTGAGAAGAGTGTGATTTCGACATGAGTGTGATTCGATATATCATCATCATTCAGCCATACGACGCCCAATGCTGGGTACAGCCCCCCCCCCCCCCCCCAACGATCTCCACGACGATCGGTCCTGCGCTGCCCGTATCCATCGGCTTCCCGCGACCTCCACCAGATCGTCGGTCCACCTGGTGGGGGACCTACCCACTGAGCGTCGTCCGGTGCGCGGTCGCCATTGAAGAACCTTTTTTTTTTTTTTTTTATTGTGACTCGGCAAAATGACTGCACCGCGCCTGATGGAAAGTGCGAATACAGTCCAGAGATGAGAGTAACGGATGGAAAACACAAATATCTTCACTCCGTCACTATCATTTTGCCGGTCTGGCCAACCTTTCCGCCCCAACGGCCATCGGTTCTCCTAGTTATGTGCCCCGCCCACTGCCACTTCAGCTGAGCAATTCTTACATATACTTCTTCTTATATATATATATATGTATATATAATAATAATTGGTATTGTTAACGGTCAGTATCTATATTATAGTGTTGTGTGTTACTAATGAGGCTCAGAGCGGTTACACACGGCGACTTGGCGACTTTTAGCAACGATACAAACGCCATACATACGTGATACCGATGCAATCACGTGTTTGTATCGATGCAGTCTCGTGTTTGCATCAATACAATCACGAGACTGCATCGCAAATGCCGTGTGTACAAATGAACAGAGAAATCTAATTATTTACGCTTTGAAACCTTTTTGTAATATGGGTCATTATGAGGGTGATGTGTTCATTCGAACAAAACCCCCCTTCAAACAATAAAACAACACGGTAATGATGATAAGGCCACATCAGCAAAATGACAACTTTTCAGGAGAGGTTTTATGATTGAACGCACGAAATTAGTCGACAATTTTTCTATGCTCAAATAAGAATGTAATAAAATTTCACATAATTTATTTCATGCAGTTTGTATTTTTGTAAGTTATGACACGTGGCTTTATTGTACCAAGTGTACGAATTATTTGTAAATAGGTGAGTATGTTATAGTTTACAGGTATTGTCGCTTTCGCCAATTTGAATCCAAAATTTCATGACATTCAGCTTCAGTTTTTTTATAATACCAAGTGACAGTAGGAGTAAGTGACACGCCTATCCATAACAGTTGCAGTGCCGCCTTTAATCGCAAAGAACTTAGGGGCACTACCACAATATATTTTTCTAAACTATCAGGTTTTTAACATTTAATTTTTTCTCAAATAAAAGAATATTAAGTACATAGTGTGTTTTAATAAATAATAAAAAACAAATATTAGACTACTTCATATACGTTGCTCTGATTCCAAAGTAAGTAGCTAAAACACTTGTGTTATGGAAATCGGAAACAACGACATTACTACAAACGCCCAGACCCGAGATAATACAGGAAAGTTCGTTTTTTTACACTGACCCGGCCGCGGATCGATCCCGGGAACTCGGAGTTGACACCATGAAAACCGGTGTGCAAGTCACTCGTCCACAGAGGCCGTCAAATTTTCAATATCAACATGCCAATTTACCCTTAAAGTCATACTATTATCAATGACATCATTATATTGTCGGCCTTTATTTACTGACCACAGCAGTATGCATAACACATTTTTTGAAAAATGACATGTGCGCCCTTGCAAGTTACGACGGCAGTATAGTACAGGTTTAAACCTGTACTATATTGTACTTTAGTTTAGGCACCAGTCTTTCGTCTCACAAATAATTATACGATGTGCCTTGGATTTGTGAAATTTATTGTTAAGGTCGAAAAGATAATATGTATATGTATTGTACATTATTTGTACTTGTATTATTTATGGGGAAACAATAAAGGTTCCAAAAAACAAATAAAATTGCAGCGAAATGTGTCTAATTGTAATACTAACTAACTAAGCTGCATTAAAATGAGTTAGTGTAAAATAAAAACACAAAATATATCGACAAAATTATTTATATTTAGCAATCAGTTTCGTTCAGTTATTTTCGTATTTTTATTTGCACAAAAGATTTCGTAGCTTAATAAATTGCGTTATTTATAATAATCATATTTTGAATAAGCTCATTTTTTATTTACTTTTCTGAGCTTTTATTTCTGCCCTTTTATGTATTCTTGGGTATTTGTTACTTAGTTTCGAAAAGATATTACCTCGTACCCCTTATTCATCGTGAAAGCGAATAACACGGCCAAAGTTTGAGACCTTGGCCTGAGCCACTAACCGTGCACTCAATGTATATCACAAACAATGACAAGTCCTTAGTTTCTGTAACGAATATATCACATGTTGTCATATACGCTCGTTAAAAAAGGCGTATTATAATTATGGTTTCATTTCCGCACATCAGTCGGTTTCAGTGGTTTGTGAAATGAGAAATTGTGAGTTTTGTTCACGTTTTTTATTTATTTTTATTTATTGATAATCTGAAAAGTTGTCATTTTGCAGAAATGGCCTTATTAGATTAAGAGTGCGAAGTATAGTAAAATTCTTTAATTGTAATAAAATTTTTTTGGTCTCAGCAATCCTTCGTTCCCACTATTATATGTAATCCATTTAGTTTCCCACGTCACGCCACAGCTTCTTATTCTTAATATCCGTAATAAAATTACTGCCATATTAATTATATCCTGAAGGAAGAAATATTATCCTCATTAAGACTAATTAAGGGGAGTATCAAGAACCGCGCGACGGGTCCGTAGGTCATTTCGTCATTTGATGTTCGTGGAAACATGTACATATATTGTAAAGCTTTCAAAAAAATTGCCTAAAATTGGATAGAAATGTACTAGTGATCCCTTACAATTTTGAACAATCTAGTGTAAATAAAAAAATATAAGCCTCGAACCCTGATATTAGTTTGTAAATCATGCATATTGACTGCGGTTTGTAAATAGGACAAAACTTCGTTTGTATCGAGATATTCTAATATTATACCCTTAAGGAAGGACTTTAATTGCGCTGCTGAACTATACCAACTTATATTCGTCCCATTAATTTGTACGGGTCTCCGCTGAGAAAAGGGCTTCTACCAGTTGACCATTGTAACCCAAAGCGGGCTCAAGGGTTTCACCTTTTCCGACGATATGTATTATCTTTTCTGTTATCACAGATATTTTCTTCACGTAATTCTCTAACTAAGCACTTTTGGTACTCGGACGTTCTACTTTAGTGTTTTTAAAAAAGCAAGTGTCCGAAAAATTCTTAAGTATACACAATCATTGACTTACAATACACAATACATAAATACCATAGTATATACAGACAGTGCAATCACGACTCATGGAGCGCAGGGTTGTCACATTATTATTTTAGTTGTACGTACAAGTTGTAACACAGCAGTACTTATACATCGATTTTTTTATAATACCAAGTGCCGTTACTTGGTATCACAAAACGAACAAGTCATGCGCCTGGTGGTAAGCGACACGCCTGTCCATAGCAGTTGCAGTGCCACTCAGAGCTTTAAATCACAAAGATATGAGGGGTTCTGCCACTACGCCCGTCACCCTGAGATATAAATTGACAAGTCCTATGTGCCTGTAATTTTTCGTGTATCATTCGCCATTAAAACCGGAACGCAGTAATGCTCATATTACTGCTTGGCGGTAGAAATAGGTAAGGTGTCAGTACTTTCCTGCACCAACTCTTTCACTACTGCTGACACTGTGTTTTCTTTCTTCTTATTAGTTCTTGTTAGTTCAGCTTTATGGTGCACTAGTTTCTTGAGTGTAATAACGTGTAAATATATTTACAATAAATAAATAAATACATGGTGACATTAAATCAGCTTTAATTGTCTCGGCCACCGTTGAAAATTGACGCTGTGAATCGATTTCTAATTTATTTATGTTACAATCATAAGGTCAAACGGTCAAACCTATAAGTATGTAAGTAATAACGTCATAATTACTTTGTTTCAGTAGCACCATTCGAAATAGTATACGTGTACAAGATCTTTATTGTAGCGAGCCTGTACGCCCTGCCTCAGCAAACAGTGCCGAGAAGTCTCTCTTTCGGCTCCTTGTTGGAGATGCTGCGGGATTCCGTTGCCAATCCTTGTAAATATATTTTCTTCTTAATACACTACCGGATACATAATTTAAGTCACATTGCATTTTTATTCTTAACAAAAAATATTGTTATCATAGAAAAAAAGTTATCCAGTTTTACAAATTCAAATTTCAACAAAGACTTATGGATTTTTTTATGATATCATGTGGCGGGACGAACATGTCGTGTCCCTTA